AATAATTTTCATTTACTAACTTTGAATTGTTTTGCAACAACTTGTTTCACCCTTATGGTGAAATCCTACCAACCTTAAAGGCAATCATTTGGAGAGGCACGAAGATGAAAGGACGTGATCATTTAAATCAGCACCAAGGAGTCATTCAAAGAACAATTATCTTCACCAAGCGACGTGATGACTCTAACCAAGAGACAAACCTTTTCACCAACAAGCATGGTGAATTAAAAGGAGAAATTGAAGAGATAGAGGTCCTTTCCAAGCATTGTGATGATTCAAAGAATAAAGAAAAAGGATCAAGTTATTTCATGAAGGGATATGTCTATTCCATTCAAAGGACATATGATGGTTCTAAAACATTGTGTCCTCCTATCAAAGGATGTTAAGTTACCAGATTTAAAGGCAAGAGGTTGAACATTTCGTGTGAATCATCTATTGGAGGAAAGCATAAGGGTTCAATCCTTCAAACATCAAGAAGGTCTTCAATGAGAAACTACTTTGATTTGAGGACAAATCGCCTAAAAGAAGGGGAGGATGATACAATCCAAACTAGCTCCAATTTTCTCCGTGAATTAATCACACCATGGATGTTATTCAAAGCTGGTTCTAAGGGAGTTCTTCATTACTTTATCCTTTATCATCTTCTATATGCATCACTTAATGTTATAAGCATGCTTTTGCTCCTTAAACAATGCTTGAATAATCATATGTTATCATTCACTTGCATATTATATGATTTTCATGCATAACAAATGTTTGCACATATTTACTTAGCTTTATATTATGTTTACACATGTTTTAGATTCATTTATTATGTTTTACATATCATGGCAACATGTATTCATTCATTCATTAACTCATGTCATGTTATTCTAGCTCATTTTATGTTTCTTTAGCTCATTTGCATGCATGCATCTATTTTCTATCTCATATATGTTTTCTTAAAGGTCATGAGCGTCCTATGCCTTCTATCTAGCTTATATACATGTTATCTTAGCTTCTAGACGATCATTCATAGCTCATATCACTCAAACACTTCACGACAACATGCATTTTACCTTAAATGAGCTCACACATTGCTTACTTTATTTGTTTGTTGATTCCTATAGGTGAAACACAAAGCAAGGCATATTATGGTAACTTGGTTTGCTAAAAGGAAAAGCATAGAAGCGCACACTAGCTCATGAACGTTATGGTAGCTCATTTCATTACTTAAGGAGCTTCAACTTAGCTGGAGGATATCTTTGGACCAAATTACTGAAAAGTGGACTAAAGGTAGCTGGAAGTAGATGAGAAGACCAAAGCTAACTAGCTTGAGTTCATCAAGCTATAGCTTACCTAGTTAGCTACCAAGACACTCACCTAGCTTACCTTGAAGCTAGTTCATCTCTAGGCTGCCCAAGGACTTCAAGACATCATCCTGTGGTTGCAACCTCACAAAAGAATTGCAAGAAGACCCATATGCATTCAAGTAGGCTGCCATGTGCATCATTCAAGCGTGTGCACTCCATGTGACATCATATAGGCACCAAAACACCAAGGGATGCTTCCTATTCGGCCAAAGACTCATTCCTCTTCATTTTGGCGCCAAATAACTTCCAAATGCATTCGAAACATCCTTAGGGCCGAACCAACACCTTATCATTCAGCCAAGAGCATGTATCTTCATTAAAATCATGTATTTTCATTAAAAATCATGTATTTTCAAAGGGGTTTCAACCTTAGCCGAACCATCATGTGTTTATTCAGCCTAAACCCTTTGAAAACTATAAATAGGCTATTGCATTTCATTTGTAAACAATCCTTTTGATTAATATAAAACTCTTTGTGAGAATTTCTCTCTTGCAAGTTCTTTAAGAACTTTATCGATTATAAAAACTTTCCTAAGTTTGTGACGTCAATCCACTCCTAGATACTTTGAGATCCTAGTTTCCATAACTAGAGGGTTCAAGTCCTATCCTACCATCCCTTACTTAAGTTTATAAAGAACGGGGTTAAACTTTCTATAGTTTTTCTTCATCTTTAGCTTATTTAAGATACTATTTCATCCTTTCCAATTTCCATCACCTTCACGCCTACACCATCACCATTCCATTGTCATTTCATCACCATAGAAACATCTTTCATTCGTCATCAAGGTAAACTTCCATCATCATCATTGAGGGTCGAATCATCTTCCATTTGAAGGATATTTCTACATCACTTCCGCAACATACTTTGATAACATCTCTATCCTTTTATTTATTCTTCAATTCATTTCTTTCATTCATTTCTTATTCCATTTAATCATTTTTTTCATTACTTTGTACAGACTACTTATAAATTCAAGTGTAGCATTTGGTGTCTCTCCTAGATCGGGAAACAACAAGGTTGACATCTTCTCCATCATTGAAGAAGCTTGGATAGCCTTACATCAACCATGCTCATTCGTTTCTTGAATCTAACTCTTTTGATATTAGATAAATGGATAAATTCTCGAGATCATCTCTCAATTCACTCAACAACAATTAAAGAACCAAGAATGAACAAACTTTGAATTAAAAAGACAATAAAAAACTTAAACAAAAAGTTTTCACAACCACAAAATCCCTATAACCCTAGCCAAATTAATTTTGTTCATGGATGGATGCAAAAAGATTACAAGATAAAGATTTCAATCCCATGAAAAGAAAAATAATGAAGAAATAAAGAAAAAAGATTGTGTTCCCTTTTCTTTCTTTAGCTACCTCTCTCTTTTTGTGCATTTTCTGTTCTCTTTTATAGGAGATGTGTGTGTTCCTTTTCTTCTTGGAGGAAAGTTTTAATTACAATAAAAGAGTTATTAAATCTCTTTTAAATAAAAGAGATATAAATCTATTTTAATAAAAGAAATAAATATCTTTTATCTTTATCCTTAAATTCCTTGAAATTAAGACTTCTTTCTTTTATTAACTTCTGTTTAGATATCCAACTTTATAGGAATTATCTCCTTGTATCGTGATTATCTTTAATGAGGTAGACCCCACCAAAAATCAGCTTCATTTGCAAATTTTAATCTGCACAAATTTATACACACCATCAATATTTTTTCCACAAAATTAACTAAAATGTAATATCAAACTTAACGATGAAGGAAACTATGAAATTATATATGAATGGCTAATAATGAAACTAGACCAAACCTAAATCTAGTAATAATTATGGGTAAAAGGGTAAAAATATAATATTTTTATACGCTTAACAAACACATATAGACGCTCGAACTCAAGACTTCATATATATATATATATATATATATATTCTTTTATACCACTAAACACTACAAGAAAATATACCTTTAATGACACACGAACGATGACACACGCTAATTTATGACTTGCAAAAAATGTGTCATAAAAAATGTCACGTTTCTTAAAATCTGAATGATTTATGACTTACAATAATGTGTGTCATATTTAATAGTCATAATCCAAAAAAATTGCAAAAACACGGAGTACACTTTTAATTGTGTGTCATATGTAAAAGTCGTCTTTTAATTCCCCCCATTATTTTCATCATTTCCCGCTTATTTTTTCCCTTTTGCCTTTAACTTGAAGCATCTTCATAATCGAAATTTTACCTTTTTCCCCTATTTTTTACGTTTCATTTCTATTTAAAATTGTTTCAGGTTCTCAAAAATGACTCAAGATGTGGAGATGAAAGAACAACCAGCTCCTTCCAATTCCGTTACATCCTCTTCTCCGTCCACTTTGCACCGTATATGCATCTATAACATCCATTCCCCCTCTCGCACGCATATTTTTTACGCCTGGTGGTAGAATTTGATTTGCTATTTTCTAATGTTTCTGAACTGGGAACTTGTGGGATTTATCGGATTTGAATAAATTTTTCTGGGTTTATGTTAGATTTGAAGGAAATTGTGTCTCTGATAGAGACCGGTGCATACGACCGTGAAGGTGGTGTAGTTGCACCAAATTCTGAGTCTCTAGCTGTGGAAAACGTAGATTCTTGGGCTAATCAAAATTATGGGTTAGAGATTTGCATTAATGTTCACTCTAATTTAGCACATAATTGTTATTCAGTGAGCTGAAGGAATCTGGAACCAGCAATGTTGGACCCATTGGTGGAGAGGAAGTACGTCCGCCCTTACCTGTAGTAAGGGAGGCACTTTATGATGATGCATCGCTATATGGTATCTTCTACTTTTAATTTTTAACAGTTAGATTATTGCAGTGTTATATATTATTTTTCTTTTCTTCATATGAAATTGCAAATGTATATGTCGGTTTTTCTTTTATGGTAATTTTCTTGTGGTGTGTCTCTGTATGTCAGCTCATGCATGCTTGTATTGTCTACAGTTGTTGTATGATTTGGAGAGAATTCTACTGCAATTTCGTAATAATTCCATATGTGGTAATATTTCATTTTCTAATATTCGTACAGAGCATCAAGCTTGGGATTCCCTCCTCAACAGTCTGATTCGTTAATTGCTTTCCGTAATTTTGATGAGGAAATGAAACGTCCTAGGGTTTGGGAATCAGATGAAGGTCTTCTTCCACGGTTGATGCTCCTCGAGATAACCTTGCCTCTTTGTATCGTCCTCCTTTTAATCTGATGTTCCAGGGACCTTTTGAAAACTTATATTGATTATCATAGAATTTATTATTCCTTACGAAGTGTGACTTGTATATCAACCTCAAAATTTTATCCTTTTAAGTGATAATATCCCTTGTTGGACCATTTAGTACGTAGCCCAGGGCTTATAACTTTGTTTTGAGGGAAAATGATATTTTGTGCCTTGGGTTAATGTGGACTAGAAAATTGGATTTTGAGGCCGCCTTTTCAATATTTTTCTCTTTGACTTTGAAAGTCAATTTAATCAAAGGCTATATGTCTATCATTTAGGCAAAAGCTGTTGCATCTGTTGAAGATAAGCAGAGGCGGACCTAGGAGCCTTCGTCAGGGGTTGTAAGAGCCTCAGGGGTGGCACTTTTGAGGGGTAGCACTTGGAATAGGGGTGGCACTTGTGGAGGGGTTGCTTGGGATACCCCAAACACCATGGAGATCCATCCCTAGATAAGGGGTTACCCGGGATACCCGGGCTCTATGGAGGTCCGCCCCTGAAGATAAGTGGCTACTTGTGAACTTACAATCTTCCAAGGAGTTCAGCTCACATATGGTATTGTTTGAGTCTTCCCCTTTCCTCTAGTTGAAACTAATAATTTTTTTTACTTCATTCCCTGGGTTTGAAGTGGCTTATAATGTAATCATATATTCTGATGTTGTTTGTGTTTTTGAAGCTTAATCGAGATACATGGAGAAATGAAGCAGTTTCTCAAACTGTTAGCACCAACTTTATTTTCTGGCAGGTTAGTATGATGTTTTCTAGTTGACCTTGTCCTGTTTGCCATCTCTCTCTCATCCTATACTATATGTTTTACCCATATTCTATGGTTTTTACCTTCCATTTATTTTCTTAACAGATTGATGCAGGACCATCCCAGATTATTTTAATTATTTTATTTTTAGGACTAGTTTTTTTAGTTATCAGTTGTTACATTAGTTTATCTTTTGTGTCCTATTAGATGGTTATGTGGTTAGCATAGGACTATTAGTGATAACTTTATCATAATTACATACTAGAAGGCTATTAGGGCGGTTATCATTTGCCATTAAGAGAATTTTTAATAGAATTGACTGCTGGAATATTCCAGAACATTTTTTCTTTATCCCTAATTCAATTAGGTTATATCATCTTTTTTCAATTTCCATAGTTGTTTTGTATTTCCTCTCCATCACAGATGCTATTGTATAATTAGGAATGTGTTTTGAACTCTCTTTTATCTTTTGATTGTGGTTAAATCTGCAAGATTCTTATATGATGCAAGATTCTTATATGATGCAAGTTGTTTGCAACTTCTTGTTAATGGAGATATAAAGATGCTTTCTCTTAAAATGGGAACTTAATCTGATAACTTCAGTTTTTTTATCAGCCAAAAATTGCCGGGGAAATCAAATAGTCCTCTAAGACAACTGCCACATTTTATTGTGTATATACGACTTTAGGAGTCAAAGCCTCGTATATTAAGTGTCATATGCATCTATAGAGGACTTTCATATCATTGTATTTTTGAATCTCTTGTTTCTTTATATTCTTTATTTTATTGATGTTGTCTTATGGATCTAGGTATATGATGATACAAGTGAGGGGAGGAAAGTTTGCACCTATTACAAGCTAGATTTAGTTCCTGTAGTGCTTATTATTGACCCAATCACAGGACAGAAAATGCGCTCCTGTTGTGGAATGGTTCAACCTGAGAGTTTGTTGGAGGTATCTATTTTGTAACATTAATGCAGATGGGAAGTTCTTAGGAAAATAAGCAAAAATGAAATGGTTCTAAATGAAGGCTAATAAAATTATGATTTATGGTAGTTAAAGAATTTTCAAGTCATGGATTTTGTGATTTGATACAAGGCATTTTAACCTTTAGGACCTGATTCAATTCATGGATGGTGGCCCAAGGGATTATCATGCAACTCTGTCTCATAAACGTCCAAGAGGAAGCTCAATTACACTGCAACAAAAAATTAAAGGTAATAATGTATCTTCTTTTCTACACCAAGTTTATCTGTAGAGAACAAGTTAACGATTAAATAAGTTTCAGCCTATAGTTCCAAGACCTGTTACAATAAAGGCAGTAAAGTTGACAATATTTTTTATGAATTCATGGAAAGTTTCAACTTGAAAGTTTCAAGGGGGAGTGAGAGAAACGCTTTATCTATGTCTTAATTCTATAGATAATACTGTTGCATTCATGGATAATGACAAGGAATAACTTTTAAGAAACATGAAAAAAAATCCATCCAGAATAATATATGATGTTTACAAAATTATTTGACTCGTCTGTATGTTGTCTTTAGTATATATTCTTATGCGTGTTTTCTTTTATGGAAATCTCAGTATGTATGTTTCTAGAATACATGATCAAAAGATATTCTAGGTCTAATTAACATATCTTTAATTGACATTAATCTTCTAGCCCTGCACCGGATTGCAACATTGAGCCATGACGAGCTGGGTCAGGTAAATTTTCAAATATTTGAGCAATTATATCTATGATGTGTTAGGATGTTATATATAACTGTTTTTATCATGTAGGAAACGCTTCTTAACCTGCTACTTCGCAATTTCCTTCATTACAATTTATATGACCAAGTCGAGAAACTGAGATAAATGGCACTCAGATTTGAAGCTCATTCAAACCAACAGGCAAATCATAATCTTAGTTAACTTTTTATCTTTGAACATTAAATAATAAAGTAACCCATGGGCTGAGAATAATGCCCACTTCATTTCATCCAATTGAGTTGCATTTTTATGGTTATTGAATGGTTTCCTGGGGCATGGTTACCTTTGTGGTTGTAGCTTTAGAAACTTACAGTTACCTTTTGCTCATATGAGAAAGGTTATCCTCTGCAGCTTTGTCGGTACCTCTTTTACTTGGGAAAGATTAGGACAATCCAATTGGAGTACACATACGCCAAAGAGTGTCTCCTCCAAACTGCTAGGAAAGCCCCTGTCGCAGCACTTGGTTTCCGGGTTCAATGCAACAAATGGGCCATTATTATCTGATTACTACTAGGAGAAATCCCTGAGAGGATTGTTTTTATGAAGAAAGGCATGGAGAAGGCATTGAGGCCCTACATTGAATTGACAATTGTCAGTAAAAAGAGTTTTTCATACTTAAATTTTCTTTTCATTCTACATGTAGAAAATCGAGTCTGATATTGGAAGCATGTCTTTCCTGGAAAGAAAACGGAGAGAATCGTGTGTCTATATCTTCATGTTATTATTCAAATATTGGATTGTTGTTATTTAAATATGATTTAAGCACACAAAAAAGGGTTATTCAAATATGATTTTAAATATTGGATTGTTGTTATTATTCATATCATACATACACATTAGTCATACAACTATCATATGGATTTGAAGTATGATGCTATTCTAAACAAATTAATGCAAGTACTTCTTAACAAGACTGAAAACTGTGAATTCGTGTCATGATAATGTATATAATTTATATGGGAAGTTTTACTAATTAAATGTGTAAAATTTATTTTTACATATGCTTCAAAGAATGCATATGTAAAATTGGTTATTTTAGTACTATTTGATAGTTATATACTTCACTTTAAATAAGTATAAATTATATATTTATTTCATATTTTTTATTTAGGTTGGCGATGGGAATGAAGAATACACGGATGATGACATTGATGATATTGATAAAGAATGGGTATCTTATGTGACAAACTTTATTATGCCATGATATTTTGTATCGACGTATGATTACAATATTTTTTATAACTTAATGTTAATATATTGTATGCAAATGGATTGCTTATATATAATATGAGATATATATATATATATTTAGTATTATGAGACATTAAATGTGATTTAGTTTGATTATTTGTCAATCTACAATATATATATATATATATATATATATATATATATAATTTACGACATACAATCACGACACACGAATGTGTGTCATCTTTTTTAATGGTGTGTGCTTCAATGACACGCAATGTAAGTCATAAATGCGTGTCATAAATTTATGACACACAAATGTGTATCATCTTCATTTATGATGGGGCTTCAATGACGCGCAATGCGTCATAGATGAATCCATGGTTGGTTGATTTCCCAATGTCTGGTTCCTCTGTTCGTTTGTACAAAGAGATTTGTTGCTTATCACATATATGTGTCAGCTAGGGTTGCCGATAAGAGGAGATCATTTTTTCCGTTGGCCTTTTTTATTCTTCTTCAAGTTTCTCTCCTTCATGTTTGATGCTCGGAGTCGTTGGTGTGATCAATTTATGCACGTCGCTGCTTCACTTGTTCGTGTTTTTATTTATGAGGCTATCACTAGGCGATCATTGTTATATTTTATTTATGATAGTAATGACTATATTGTTTCAGTCTATAATTGGCAAGATGTTTGTTGATACGATTTTCGATAAATGAATATATCCTGGTTAAACTATTTAAATGGGCTAAGCATAGCACTAGCGGTTAGCATTTAGCGATAATAATGCTTTGGAAATTAAAAATTGGTATAATCATATATTTGATCCTCAATATTTATATATTCTCTCAATTTGATCTTAATTTTAATTCAATTCAATAAATTTAATTCTCCAATAAAACTGTGTCACATGCATACACTGTAATGCTAACTGTTTGGCCTAAAGAACCCTACGAATCTTACTCCTATATACAAATCCCATCATAAAAACGCAATGAATTTGCTAAACCAGGCAAAATCTTTTTCTCTACAGGAGAGGTTTTGCAATTCGTGTCATTTACTATTTGTTTATTTGTAGCATCCTTAACAAGCACATGGGGCGCTTTAGCGGGGGGAACTGGGGAAGAGTTGTTGGCTGAAGTAAGACCTGAGGCTCGAAATGCAAAATCCGAGCCATTTGATGAAGCATCATCAGAGTTGTCCGAATTATCAAAGTAATCAACTCGAGCAATGGGTGGAGAGGCTGAGCCTGATATTGAATCTGATGAAGTTTGTAAAATCGTTTTAAGTTGTGAAAATTGCTCAGACATGATAAATACGAGCCTCGGGTTCAATATCAGTCTGAGCAATTTAGTAGTTAAGGTGCATAGATTGTTTTCTTTTATTACCCGAGTTCGAATCCCCTCGTGCAAACCTATTTCAAGTTGTTTTCTCTTCAATTCAGAAAGTGACACATTTTATATGTTGATTGGATTGAATATTTATTAAATTTTGAATTAAATTAAAATAAGGATCAAGTTGAGAGAGAGTATAAATATTGATGATCAAATGTGTAATTATTATAATTTGTTAACTGTAACATCATTACTTCTGTTAAATACTAACTATGGTTTACGGCTTTAGGAAAATGAGGAGAGCAAATTCTTGATTTTTCTATAATTATTTCATAATTCATTTGTCTTATTTCTAATATTAAATGAATTTAAAATTCATTTCTGTGAAATTATCATTTTACCCTTAATGAGATATGATAATTTCAATATACGGCCATAATACCTTCCATTTTAATATTTCAAAGTTAAAGATGAACAAATAAAAATTGACTTTCCACCTTTGACCTTTGTAATTTTTGAAGATTACAATTTAGTCACTAAATTTCATAATTTTGGCATAACATGGAAAATCGACATTAATTCCACTTATCCATGTTAAATGTAACTGTTACAAATTATGGAAATAATATTTCTAAATTTTTTATATCATCCTTCATAATTTATCAAAATTCTCATTCGATCTGATTATCCGAATTCTTATCAGATTTTACTGTTTTATAGCTTTTAATACAAATCATGAATCTAAATTCTGATTCCAACAAAATCAATTTGGAAATAAACTATTCATTTACAGGCCAAAATTTATACTTTTAAAAATTAAATTTTTGGTCCCTAAACTTTTACAAATTTATACTTTGCTCACTAAACTTTCAAAACTTACATTTTGGTCCTAGCCAAGATTTATGGTATTACAATCAAAGTTTTTGGTTTTTTTTAAAACGTTTGATAAACTTTTGGGCTTTTCTATATATATATATATATATATATATATATATATATATATATATATATAATTTTAAGTTTTTTAATTTAAAAATTTTCAAAATTATATAAATGTGACACGTGTTATTTAGCGGAGGAATTAAGTGGCAGTAAATGTCTGGAAACCTAAAATATAACGTTGGAAACATTAAACATCTAAATTGATCGAAAAACAATTTAACACCTAAATAAAAAAAGATATATATTAGAGACCTAATTTTATATTAAGCCTTATGGAAACTGCAATTTCAATCACAGTTTTGGCTCTCTCCCTAGTTAATAACGGTAAATCTTGAAACAACTAGACATCCAATCCTCCATAGACTTTTAGGGACACTTTAGTGATTTAATGTTCAAAACGTTTTCATTAATCTCCAGTCCACACGTAGGTTCACATAAAACTGTTGATAAGCTTTGCGGATAAATTATTATTCTTATCCATTTAATTACGAGTAAAGTACAGAAATGATCTTGCAAAAGGTTTTTAGAGTCTAAGTAGAAATCGAGTGTACCTTTCGTATGCAAGGCGCACTGTCTGTATTATATGTAAATAAAATGAATAATTTTAATTTTAAAGTAAATTAATGAAATCTCCTATTATTTTATTTAAAAATTATATAAATTCTCATTTAGTTAATATTTTATATCTTTTCTTATTATAAATAATAAATTATAATGATTTGTTTTAAAAGTTAATGTAAGTATGAGTATATTAATAAAAGTATAAAATAAAATATTTGTGTAAACAAATTTGTTTTGAAAAAAAAAAAAAAGAGTTGGGAAAATTTTGATCAGGTTTTGTCCACACAAATTAACAAAGAATAAAAAAATAGCGGGAAACACTTGTCCTAAGGTGAGGGGAGTCAAGATAGGAGGTTGCATTATCCTATTTATATTTTAATTACAATTTTAATATTAGTTTATTATATGATAGGCTATTTTAATTACACTTGTCCTAAGGTGAAGGAGAATTAGCTGGTTGGTGGTGGCTATTGCAAAGGCCGGTAAAGAAGAAAATCACGGTGGTGGAGAAGGGAGACGTGCGATAAAGAAAAGATATTAGGGATATGTTTGGTGATTATATTGTATCGTGAGTGTGTTTTCTTTAAATTGTGTTTTATAATATTAAAATATTTATTAAAATATTTTTGGATTCGCTGCTAGACATAAGCATATTGTTGAAGAAAATACAAAAATGCTCAAATATGAAAAAAAAAAAACTACAGCTAAGAAAAAAACTACATCTGAAGTAACCTCATTGAGTGAAACTCCCATTTTGCAAAAAAACAAACATAGTTTCTTTGAAAATATAAACTCAAGCTCACAAGACAATTCGAAAAATCAGACAACTCTTGATCGAACTATTTCGACTAAGAATTCATTGAATGATTGCATCTCCTACTACGGGTGGAGTGACTACGAGTTTTGTTATGTTGGGGATATCATTATTGATGAACCAAATGCCTATATTGCATTTGCGGGTAAAAGAGTAATTGAGCAAACATTGAATAAAACAATACATAAAGGTTTACAGGCCGTTGAATATTTATTTCATAAAAGTTTATTCGATCCAATCGTACCACGTAATCCTTTAAAAGAACAAAAAGGTGTTATGAGTGAATTAGTTCAACTCCACGATTTTTTTCCTTCGAATCAAAATTCAATAAGTAGAGTGTTAAGTTAAATTATTTTCTTTGTAGTGAAAAAGGGTCAAACTTGAAGCCAAACTCCTTAAACAAACTAACAGATACTGCATTGGAGAAAGAACTTCATGGCATCAACAATCACTTACTCAAAATAAAACTCTGACGTCAGACAGAATAGTTATTATCCTGTAGGCTAGTTCCGACAGACGATTCACAAGAGAAAATTCGCCCAAAAACCAGAGAAAAAAAGTCTCTAGGGTTTAATAAAATATTATAAAATCAAGCAATGCAAAAAGCAGTCCACAAGCCGGACTGTTATAGCAAAAAAAATCGTCTTTATTCGAATTTTGCCAAAAATAGCAAAATCCTGAAAATCACTCTAAATTGAAATTCGAAATAAAATAAGCAATCTCCCAAAAATCCGGCCTAAATCGGATTTAAATTGCCTTCCTAATTAACAATCGAAATATTACCATAAATAGTAAAAAATAACTAAATCTAGTGATTCGGAGGGGAAAACGACAGAATTTGAGGTTGAAAAAAAGGCCACATGGAGCGTAGCTCGATGTGGAGAGCGTGCGCGTCGAAAAGAGCTTTCCGGATTGGGGTCTTATGCGCGATTCTGACACCTGTAGCCAAAGTTATGGCCAAAAGACTGAAACATACTCAAAACGACCCCAATGAGGAACATGTCACAATCAATTCCCGCCTTTGCGCTGATCTGCCAACTCATGGTATCTCAGCGCCATCAACGTGCAATCTGACAGCTCAGCATCATCTGTCTCGGATCCCCCTGCATCAAACTCACACCTAAGATTGATCATAACAGCAAAACACCAACTATTGTCCACATTTTTGTATGTAAGACCGTGGTCACGTCACCACACTAGCTCCATCGTAGAAATTGAAACTGCAAACACTCACCAACAAGACATCACTACAAGCTTCTACAGAGCATCTAGTCTAGTAAGTTCAAGCACCACTTCTTGTTTATCTCCCTCGACACTAAGATAGAGGTTCTTCGCAAACTCCTAAGCAGGATTTACATCCTTTAAGATTACTTTCTTTCGATTACTAAAATTCAAATCCGAAAGAGATGAAACTCACACCCATTTCCATTTTAAAATCTGAATTCGAATTCAATTTATACCCCGTAATCACCCAAGAATTAGAGCTCCTAAAAGAACAATACCCTCACCACCATCATTTTCTATCTTCATCTTCATCGTTTTGATCGTCACCATGGCCGACCTTGTCGATGATGATGACACAGATGGACCCTTCTACATTGCTACCAAGCACCGCCTCCTGAGATTTTTATTAAGGTATGTCTACTGGTCACCCTCATTCCTCTACTTTTTCTTCAAAGTAAAACTAGTACCACATTTTACTGAACAGTTTTCAAAGACTTGCATTTGTTAATTGATTAATAAATTGCTAAGGAAAAAACACTGAAAGATAAATTACTATTATATGCTAAAGTAGAATTGAAATTATAAGTATAAACTGCTCCAGAGCAGTACAGTCGTCGGTGTTCAAACCTAAGATCTAAAGGGATAACAACTATCCCTTAAACTACATAGATAATTTGATTCGTGTTTAATAGTTTTATTAAAAGAATCTCATAATATTCTATATGTTGACACCTAAGGATAATGTCATTTATTGAGTTTATTTAAGGATTAAATATAAAAACAATTACGGCATTTTTGCTTTCTGAGTTTAATAGTTTATTAAAAGCTTCAATGGACTGGAAAGTAAACAAAATATTGCAGGAAAAATAATATTAGTATGACTGCAAGAAAGCAGATGATGTTCCATGAGGGAATTTACAAGGCGGTCTGCTACATATGTTCTACAATGTCAGCTAATTCATCCGAGTCAATCGGTGTCATGACTCGGGGAGGTATCGAAGTGGCATTCGCGCCTGTTGGACTCTATAAGCATCGAAACAACTTCCGGCATTGTCGGTCTTTCGGAAGGAGACATGCTAGTGCATATCAAAGCAATTTTCAAGACTGTTATCATATGAGACACAGTTGTCTCATCTTGTTGATTCAATCCAGCATCGAGTATTCCGGGTGACAATGAATGATTTCTAACGTAATTTCTCACCCATGTCACAAGATCGCCGCCTTGGTCTAGTGGTTGAACCGGTGTTCTTCCGGTCAGCAATTCCAGTAAGACTACTCCATAGCTATAGATGTCACATTTTTCTGTGACTTTCATGGTATATGCATACTCTGCATTTGAGAGAAACATAAAACTATTAAACTCCCAAACAAATATATTGAGCATTAAAGGGTCAAAAACAAGAGATTAATTCACCTGGAGCAATATAGCCATAAGAACCTGCAATTGCAGACATTGATCTGGACTGCGGCATGTCGATGACTTTCGCTAATCCGAAGTCGCCTACATGAGCTTCAAACTTTTCATCGAGCAATATGTTATTCGACTTTATATCGCGGTGAAAAATTCTAGGCTTGCAATAATGATGCAAATATGCAAGACCATGAGCAGCCCCCAAGGCAATCAAGAACCTTGTTCTCCAATCAAGATTACAGGATGCTCCATGAAGAAGCTCCCCCAAGCTGCCTCTTGACATGTACTCGTAAAGAAGAAGATTTGAACCTTGGTGGTAGCAGAAACCATAAAGCTTTACGATATTCCGATGTCGGATATTTCCCAAGGTTAGGATCTCGGCGCGGAAGCTGTTGTCGACGTTGTTATTGCCTTCCCTGTTGGATGCAAGCTTCTTAACAGCAATGACGTGGCCACTTGGTAAGACAGCTTTATACACCGTTCCACATGCTCCCCTACCAACAATAAAGCTCTCATCAAAATTTTCTGTGGCTTCAAGCAAGTCCTGGAAAGTGAACCCTTCTTTAGGCGAAAAGTAAATGTCTGAAACTCGAGCGGTAGTAGGTTTTTCTTGCAATGGAGCAACCATTTTGACTGGTTGTCTCATGAAATAAATAATAACTACTATTAAAACAAGAGAAACTCCACCAATGGCTGCTGCAACTATAGCCACAACCTTGCCTAGTCGAGTACCTTTCTCTTTTGCATCCGGCTGAAGCGAGAGTGACGGTGTTGGATTACAACCACCGAGAGGCCCACCGCAGAGATCGTTGTTCTCGATAAAGCTGCTGACCGCCATGTTGTCGAGGCGCGGTAGAGACGGTATAGGCCCCGTTAAGTCATTATAAGAGAAGTTGCATCCGAGTAAGCTGGATAAATTGGCAAAAGAACCTGGTATTTGACCACTCAAATGGTTGTTATTAAGCACAAGGTTTTCAAGTAAAACAATATTCCCAAGCTCAGAAGGGATTGGTCCAGAGAGATTGTTGTAGCTGAGATTCAAAGCAATTTGCAAGCTAGAGAGTGCACCTAATTCAGCTGGTATGTTGCCATTGAATGAGTTGCCTCCCATTTGTAACTCGGTCAAACGCAAGAGATTCCCCAATGCTGGAGGGATTTCCCCTGATAGATTATTTTCTGAAAGCTTGAGAAGCTCCAACTGAGAAAGTGCTCCCACCTCACCAGGTAACCTCCCTGTAAATCTGTTCCGGCTGAGATCGAGTCGTTGAAGCATTTTGCAATCGAAAATCTCTGGTGGTATCCTTCCAGTGAGGGAGTTCGATGAGATGTTGAAGATCGCCAACCGGGAAAGATTACCAATCTCTCTAGGCAACTCTGATGTAAAGTTGTTGTATGAAAGTTGAAGCCTTTGCAAGCTTCTGCAGTTTCCAATCTCGGGTGGAATCAGACCACTGAACTTGTTCTGGCCAAGTTCAATAGCAGAAAGATTCACCAATTTGCATAGATCAGATGGAAGACTCCCTATAAGACTGTTTCCAACTAAAAGAAGTTGAACCAGTGATTTGCAGCTTGTAATACCAGATGGAATCTTCCCAGTAAGCTTGTTTAACCCCAGGTTCAGAAATATGAGGCCCGAGTTTCGGCAAAGGTGACGAGGGATCCTTCCCATTAGTTGATTATCTGATAAATCAAGCACCCAAAGTGGACTATAAGCCCCAAGCATCTGAGGAATGCTCCCACTCAGTGAGTTGTCAAAGAGCTGAAACATGGTCAAGTTTGTTAAATACTGAAATCCCATAGGAATCGGACCGGTGAGATCATTTATGGAGAGATCAAGCTTTGACAAGTTCTTCAAGGTGGTTAGCTCAACAGGGATAACACCTGTAAGCTGGTTCTCAAAAAGATAAAGCAAAGTTAGTCCTTCAATCTTACTCAACTCAACCGGTATCTCTCCGGTCAACATATTCTCCGAAAAATCGATTTGTTCAGCTAATGAAAGATTCCCAATCTCTTTGGGGATTGTTCCATTCAGTTGGTTTCTGTAAAGGTACAACTTATTGAGATTTATAAGGTTCCCAAGCTCCTTGGGTATCCTTCCAACAAGCTTGTTGTCATACAAAGCAAGAGTACTCAAACTTGTACAATTGCTAAGCTCCTCAGGAATCAAACCAGAGAGCTGATTCTCCCAAAGGATCAACTCTCTCAAGTTATTCAGCTTCCCGATCTCTCTCGGTAGATCGCCGGTCAACGCGTTTTGTGCTAGACCAAGATACTCCAAGCTCTCACATGAACCTACACTTGAAGGTAAACTCCCCGTCAACAAGTTCTGCCCGGCTCGGAAACTTGTTAGCCTCTTGAGATTCCCAAAAGAACTTGGCAAGGTCCCACTGATATTGTTGCTATATGCAAGCAACTGTGACAAGGAAGAAAGGTTCCCAATCTCATCAGGGAAAGGCCCTGATAGCCTATTGTTGAATATGTTTAAAGTTGTCAAAAAGGAAAGTCTGCCTAGTTCTTTGGGGATTTGAGCTTCAAATTCGTTGTCATTGAGATTGAGAATCACCAAACTTGAACAATCTCCAATCTCTTTAGGGATGTTCCTTGACAACCCATTGTGAGAAAGATCAAGGGTAGTCAAATGAACCAAACCACCAATTTTGGGAGACAAAAAACCAGACAGGTTCATTGAACTCAGATTAAGGGACTGGACAACAGGGGTGTGATCATAAATGATGGTGCAATTCACACCTCTCCAGCCACAGGGGTTTGGATCATTAGGGTTCCAATTATCCAGATGGTTAAACTCGTCACCAAAACTAATCTTGATATCAAGAAGAAACTGACCCTCAGAGTTAAGCCCTTTGGATTGATGAACAAAATGGACATGAATAGCAATAAGAACAGTGATCAGTCTACAAAATAATGATATCCCCATAGCCAAAAACTGCAGTCTTAAAGGGCTGAAATGACTCAAAACCAAATCCCAGCTATCAATATACTCCCATGATCATCAGGTTCCCAGAAAACTCAACCTGAAGTTCAAAGGAAAGTTTCAAACTATCAATATATATACATATGTACATATACATATACATATACATATACATATAAACAGTAAACAAAAAAATCTATACAACTATACAACATGAACTACAGAGCAACAAAAAAAAACTTTCGCATACCTTGTTTCTCCCCAGGTAAAATTTCCAAACTTTCCCTGAACATATTTGAAAAAAGAAATCAAAATTCAATAAAAGAAACAGTTTTCTTCATTTTGTAGGGTCTGTAGGATTATGGAGAAAGAAACTAATGAAGAGGCAGTGTGTGTCGAGCAGCAAAATGAATTTAAGGCCAAACATACATAAAAAGAAATGGCCGACAAAGCATGAACATGTTCTTCTTCCTTTTCTTTATTTCTCCTCTCTCATTCCATCTCTCTGCATTATAGCTTTTAGTGCTTCAAAAAAGTTAAAACTGGAAAGTCTCTTATTTTTTAAGTCATTTTCTAAGGATTTTATGCTTTTTCTTCACATTCTTTTTTTCAATTCTGAAAAATCTTTTTTTTATTTATGGATTCAGTGCAATCTTAGGCTTTTAACCAACCCAGTCTCAGTTTTGTCATCGTCTTCTTTATTTTCTGTTTTTTTTTATTATTTAATTATTAGGTGCTAATCAGTCACCAGGAAATATTGGATACATATTTTAAAATTATTTTTTAAAATATATTTTTATTAAAAATTAATTTCATTTATTTTTCATCGAAGGATAGACTATACTATAATCTAGGGGATGGTTTAATTTCAAGCCATCAACCTTATTACTTTATAAAGGAAAAAATTTTACGAATTCATTAATCCAAATAAAATATTATTTTCTTTAAATGTCTTAAATTTTAAGTAAATCCATTTATTTTGGATACAAGTTTTGTGTTCGTAGATAGTTTTCTTATCTTGTTTGACTTTGATTTACGATTTGTCGATGGTCTTTCTATAGCTTAATTAGCTTTTGTTGTTCGTTCGTATCTTTATTTTATTCGAGATCTTTATTAAATTTTTTAATATTTTCCTTCTTTGGTCCTTATGTGATATAGGTGGTTAATTTTTTTCTCAATGATAATAATAATAATATGTCATAATTATATTTTAGATTTACGGTTATACTTGTAAATCATCATTGTAATTTTAAATATCTTTTATTTTTAATAAAACTAACAACTTTCTATAAAAAAAAAAAAAATATTTGTAAGGTGGGTGTGTGCATAGTCAATTGAGTATAAAAATTATAAACATACCCTACGTTCTAATCACCTTAAAATAATAAAAAAAGATACACTCTACTAAAAGTAATTACTTAAATTGTTGATAGGCAACTCTATTATAGGGACTAGTTCAAATTAGTTATACTATTAAATTGATCAACTTAGCCCCTATACTAGTAAAATAATTCAAACAAAACTAAAATTAAATAGAGTTAATATTTTATGTGACATGAAACTTATTATTATTATTTTAATTTCAATTCAACTCCAAACAAAAGATTGCATTCTCATAACCATTAAAGCTTTACGAACATTAGCCTCTATTCATAAAAAAGATTAACTCTTTTAAACAATAAATGTTATTCATGAGAAATTCGACCTTATTTGATTTTTTCAAACACATGGACTAATTAGATTTATTTTGTAGTAGAGGGATTAATTTAAACTTATCCCAATAATAGAAGGACCTACAAGATACATTCACCATTTTGAATAGAATCAGGATTTAGGACGGCATATTTTCAGTTGGGTTATGCCCTGGACGCACTTTTAATTTCTTTTCCTCGCCACACGCCATAGTGCTAAATTCCTAATACCTTTTAGGGTAAAGTACACAAATGGTCTTTGATTTATAGGATAATACTTTATTAAGTCCTTAGACTATTATAAGTTATAAAATGATTCTCTAACTATAGAGTGCTACTTTATTGAGTCCATTGACTATTAAAAGTTATAAAATGATCACTCGATTGTTTATTTTATTCCAAAATTGTCCATTTTTGTTCAAAAATAGACGATATTATGATCTGAACGTTAACCTGTTGACTGTGATATGATAAAATTTGATCACATAGTCTCAAACAACTATCATATCTCAATCATCATGTTAACGTCTAGCTCAAACAATTGTCATTTTTAACATAAAATGATGAGTTTGGAACATAATAAATAGTTAGGTGACCATTTTATAACTTTTAATAGTCGAATGACTTAACAAAGTAACATTCTATAATCGGAGGATAATTTTATAACTTTTAATAGTCAAAGGATTTAATAAAGTAGTACCTATAGTCGATGGAACATTTGTTTTTTTACCCTACTTTTTACTTTAAATTTGTTTTTATATTTTTTATTTTATAATAGTAAAGAATTTTAGCTTAATATTATAAAGAATACTATCATATAATTATATTTTTTGAAGTAGATACAAGTACAATCATAATGATAATATATCATGTCAACGTATAGTTGGTCTAATGAGATAAGACACTATATCCCTTAAGTAAGGTCAAGTGTTTGAATCCTGACGCTTGCGAATGAAGCAAATTGGATTGAGAGGGTCGCCCTCACCTCTCCAATAACCAATCTAGATTAGTCGGTCAATAGATCGGATACCTGTGATTTATTGAAAATAATGATAGTATAGCATGTGAAAAATACAAATATATAGACAATCAAAATCAAAATATCAAAACATAGTCCGATAAAAATTAAATGTATACATAATTAGATGAAAATCAAATCCCAACATAAATTTTAATCTGAAATATAATAATCTACACAAAAGTTCACACAAAGCGATTGAGACAAATAAGATGAAGACGAATATCTATATGTCATATTTTAAGTGAAGTTTAATTGCATTATTTAATTCAATTTTTTTTAATTTTAATTTTAATTCAACACGTTTACTGTCCATTTTTCATCATAATTAATTTTAATTAATTAATTAAATACAATTTTAAGTTATAAATTATTCCGACTTTATCCCTACCTTGAGTTGAGCTTAATCATCATGCCATTTAAAGCTCACAAAAAGATCTCTACATTTTAATCACTGAAATTGAAAATTCTTTCAACATTGAAACAATTAATTACCTGGTAATTTTCCCAAACCTTTTGTCCATTGGAAAAAATTTACCGGATTCAAGTGAAATTTACCATCTCAATAATGAATCCATCTTCTTTCTGAAAATAAAATACATTTAAAAAAAAGCCCTTAAAATCTAGGCCAATGGATTCAAAGCAAGAAAAGAAAATGTGAAACACGAAACCCTATATTCTTCATTAATAATCATTATAAGGTAAACATTAGTTGGTCCATCTGCATTATTTTCACCTACCTATGGCAACTCCTCCATTTTCATTCATTCATTCATTCATTCATTCATTCCTTGCCGTCCCTAATGAAATGGGCAAATGCCACGGTCTTCCTCACTATCATAACTTTGAATATTACTTTATTTCTCATCAATCCAACATCCATGCACTTTTGTTTTGTTTAAAATTTTTACACTTTTAAACAAGTTAGATGCACGAGAATCCATATTTTAATATATAGAGATGTTCATATCATGTTATCTTTGAATACTTTTTATTATGTAATATTGATTTTCAGGGTTGAACTTATAAAATTTCAGAGATAGTTTATAAAAGACCAAGAGTGAAAAAAATAAAAAGAAAATATAAAAAATACTTAAATTATATATAATTTAAATTTTTCAAAAAAATATATGTTAATCCCCTGTGTCCAAATAGGTAAAATCTATATTTAATTTAAATATATAATTTTATTTAAAAATCCAATAACTCATCTAATTAAACTAATCAATAAGAGAACTCATCTAATTAATCTGATTTTATTTATATGAAGTTTGTATCATAAAAAGAAAAATTACTTTTAGGTCTAACTTTATTTCATAGTCAATGATGGAATGATGATGCCAAGTTTTGCCATAGTTAATCCCATTTACACATATGATTTCCACTTCCATACAACAGTGAATTTTATTTTTATAAAAAAAATATTTTCCCTATTATTACAAATGCTTTGGCATTGCTGACGATTTCCCTCAAACATAACAAAATAACTTTTTAAATAACATTAAAACCCCATCAAATTTTAGTTTATTGGTTTATATAATTAGTTTTAAAGGAACTTTACTTAATAAATTTTGAAATATTTTCAAATTATAATATTCTTTAAATTTAAAAATAGGATTAAAATAACTTAATAAACACATGTATATAGTAGTATTATTTATTTATTTAGAAACATATGTGTGTTAATTTTATATTTATATGAAAGAGTGGGCAAAAAGCAAAGGAAAAGAATTGTTTAAAAATTTTCTTCAATTGTTGGGTATGGCTGCTGGGGTCAATCTTCACTTTGCACAATACTTTCTATTTTCTAATATATCCGAACTTTAATTTTATTTATTGTTTTAATATTTTTTTATTAAAAATATTAATTTCTAATAATTTGATATATAAAGTTATATTACATATCAAAATGATGATATTATCAAGTGAAAATGGTTTTTGAATATATATTTTTTTCAAAGAAAATTGCATTTCTCTCATCCTAATAGTTTTTTCATAAGGCACTTTAATTTTTTTTGGGTTAAGCTAGTAATTGCAAAGTAGTATATGTTCTTAAAACTATCAACTATTTGAGAATGAACATTCAATCACCTCACTATAGCCGTTGGTGCTCGAACACATGACCTCTAGGAACAAAAACAATTCTTTTAACTACTGAAGTAAGTTGGTACGTGCCACTTTAAAATTTTGATTACTATAATAAGTTTGATTTAACTTATTTTTACAATAAGACATTTTAATCTAATTTGATTCAATGTCACTATTAAATTCCATGTCAAGAAATTCATTTCCATTTGAGATTTTGGTCCAAATTATTTGGTGTAGTTAGATAAACTACATATTTAGTCACTCAATTTTTTTTGTTATGCTATTTTGGTCACGTGTTATTAAAAAAATAAATAGAACTCATGACATAATAATTTTTTAAAAAAAATTTCAGTAATAAAATAACACTACCTTGTGGTAACACACTAACATCATCATTAATTTCTTAACATAGGGTGACTAAGACGTCGCATTAGTTATGATTTTGAAAGAAAAAGTAGTTGAGTGGTCAAAAAAGAACCATAAGAATGGTTAAATGACTAAACACGTAGTTTACCCCGTTATCCATGTAGAAGATTCCAATCCCGTTGATTAAGTCAACTGAAACAGTTAATTGATAAGGGCAAAAGAATTTGGGTGTGAACTGCGAGTCAAACCACCGAGTTTGCTCTAATGGCTCCACTCGTCCCCCCCCCCCCAATATTCCATCGTGTATTTCATGCTTTGATGTTGAAATTTGGAACATTTGTTAGGTCCAGATCCAGCCTCAATTTTTA